GCCGTCCACGGCAACAGACATGTCCAGCACAATCTCGAGGATCCAGAGGGTGATCGACAATTACCTGGATCTGCTTGGCGAGGGACGCATCAACGAGCTCCCTCCTCATGTCATCACGCTAATGGACCGCTTGGTTTGCCTGCAGGAAGCCAATAGGGCTGCTGAGCATGTGTCCCAGCCTATCTTGTCTGCCGGCGCTTCGTCGCACACCCCGTTTGTCCCTGATTTGACTCGGTCGTTTGCCGATGCGTTGTCTCGCCAAAAGCATGTCGCGAGCAGGTGTACACCTGTATCCTATCCCTACCGATGGATTCCGAGAGTCACCGAGCAGCAACTCCTCGAACAGCAACAACACCTCGAGAACCTAGGTGTACACCTGTGTCCTATCCCTACCGATGGATTCCGAGAGTCACCGAGCAGCAACTCCTCGAACAGCAACAACACCTCGAGAACCTCAACCAAAACGGGGAATTACTCGACCCCAACACTCCCGCGGACGAACTTTCTCCCCCCGCCGTCGCCGAATCTCGCGACCCTCCGTCCGGCGGCCACGTCGAGGACAAAGGGTTTTCCCCTCCTAACGTCGCCCGTCCAGCGGCCACTCCTCCCCCTCCGGCCCCCACACCCCCGTCCCAACCCCGTCCGTGAATCCTGCCGCTGATTCCAGATAACGGGTGACATATCTCTCAGACCGACGGAAGGGGTTGAACCTTCGTTCGACCGTGAGACCAGAGGAAACTTCCGGAGCGACGGTGGTGGGGCCGCGAGTGTACAGACTTGCGGGACAGGAGTAGGTATCTAGGAAGAGCCAACGGTGGTCTCTAGGAAGAGCCACAGGCGGTCTCTAGGAAGAGCCACAGGCGGTCTCTGGGAAGAGAGGGAAAGAAGAAGAGTGACAGAGGAGAGGTGAAGAGGGGTGTGCACAGCACACCGCTCCTCAGCCCTGATGAGGCAGAACCAACCTGACGAGGTGGTGACGCAGACACAGTCTGTGCTGGCGTGCTGACGCGGCACAGCACTGACACGTTGCCGGGGGAATCTCCCCGGGCGTGAGAGGACAAACAACTAGCCGGGCGGTTGCAGTATGCGCGGTAGTCGGGCATGTGCATACAGTGGCATACGGACGCGCGCGGACCGCACGGAAAGGCCCGCAGAACAAGCGGAGGAACAGTAGGAAAGAGGGCCTCGAGTAGGACGTATGTAGCATGCTACACCAGAGACTCACATTTTCATGGATATTTTCTATCAACAACAGCATAAATGAGTGAAACTGTGTTGCTGCTGCGTTCGTACATGTTGGAACTACTGTAGGCACCTGAGGGCACACAAACTGTTTGTCCATTTTTTCGTGTTTTTGTTCATGCGTGTAGGTCCCTGTACAATGGATGGACTGTCGGCGTCATCTCTCCCTTTTCATGCCAGCATATGTTCGGCAGCAAGTGGTCTTTGTTAAAGAGGAAGGACTCCCTGCCATTGCACGTTCCATGATCACATGAGCCACGGAACCCCCCCCCCCCTCGGTGCGCGTGCGCACCTATTGTACCCCTC